CTCACTTTCTGTTTGTCTCTTTACAAGATTTTCTCAAAGAGTCTTTCAGGATTTCTGTATACTTCTCCAAGTCATGGCTTTGCTCTCCAAAATCCTGCCTCAGTTCTTAGGCCTAGGCCTTTCTGAAAAGAACAATGTTCATTGTCCATTTGGAAAGAGTTAGGGTGTTTGTTTTTTTTAATTTTAATTTTTTTGTTATAAAGATGGGTACAATTCAGGGTTAGGTGTACAAACGTTGAGTATGCAGGTACCCTTGTTGATGAGGTATGCCCCTCCCTCCCCTAGCAGTTTCCCTCTACTGCCAATCCCGCCCCCCTCCCCTGACAGTTTCCCACTACTGCCAATTTCTTTCTTATAGTATTATAATTGTTCAAGGTCTGCTTATGAGTGAGAACATATGGTATTCTGTTCTTTGTTTCTGCGATAGATCACTGTGTATGAGTCAGAGGGTTTTTTATGTCCATTTTGGAGGTGTTCTTATTATCATCCCATCAGCTTTTCCAAATTATCATCTTCTCTTCCTGCAGATTTCCTAAGAGTGAGAACAGCAACTCAGTCCCTCAATCCTTTAGATCTAGTTCAACTCAGGGAATAATTATGAAGAACCTATATTGGGCTGCTCCAATGAGGACAACAGGCCAATGACTCACCAAATAAAAACCCCCTCCTGAGGCAGAGAGTAGGCACTGTAGCTGTTGGTAACACCCTGTGTTAGCCTCAGTAGACTCCAGCCACTGATGCCTGCCAGATTCCTCAGCCTCATTTCTCTCTGTTGTTGTTCCTCCTGCCCACCTCTGTTTCCAGTATCTTCCCCATCCCTTTCCTAGCCCATCTATGCCATGAATACCACACATACAGGGTTCAGCTGAAGCATTATCTTCCCCAGCAAGCATTGCCTGATACACACCCCTTCCCTTCTGCAGAATTGATCATGCCCCTCTGTGTCCCCACTGTCCAGATTAATATCCTAGTTACTTGCCATGGCCCTGCCTTTACATATCTGCCTTCTCCCAGTTTCTGAAAACATGTCTCCTTCCTCTTTGTTTCCTGGGCCAGTGTTAGGAACTCTGATAGGCACTGGGATGTCTGTCAAAGGAATAAATGAGTAATAATTATTTGTGTGCTGCTTTTCTCCCCTACAAGCATAGCCTGAAGGTTCCTGGAGCTATTTGTCTGTCTCATTCCTACCACTGGTAGTGCAGTGTTCAATCCTAGGAGATGTTCTATCAGAGTTAAAACAAATTATTGACTTTCGTTTGCATCCTGAGGCTACCTCTGGTTCCAGTGCCAGTGGATGGTTCAACATGTTTCTTGTCTTGGCATTGGGGAACCTAAGGCTTGAAGCTAAGGGCTCTGCCTGGTGGAATTGCAGAGCTGTAGTGGTAAAATTCAGATAATAGTTGTGGAGAATCTGCTAGAACATAATCTGCAGAAGATGAGTTGTTAGTTTAAGGAAATTTCTTGTATTTGTGTAGAACAGGGAGTCATTGGCGAGTCACCTCTGAGCACTACATCCTAGATAGACATCGGCATTCAGTACTTACCTTTATGAATTCCTGACCCCACATTTGCTTCCCACCCTCATAAACGACCTCATTTGCTTAAAATTGAATATCCATCCAGTAGCCCAGAAGGCATGAGACTCCAGACAGAGAAATATGTGATAATAATTTTGATTTTCTCTGTTGCATTTCATTGGCTAAATTTTGCCTCCAACATGTTCTTTGAAAGTAAAAAGTATTATGTAACTTTGGGTTTTTTCTTCCACTTTTAAGAGTATATCGAGTTAGAAGTTGAAAGTAAGGGGGGAAAGCAGGCATTTGAAGTGAGTTTAGTATTAACACCATTGCTTAGGCTTCATGCACTGTGTCTACTTTGAAGGTGTGTGTCCATTCTTGGCATTTCAACAATGGTATGGCAATGTGTAGGCTTCCACCAGAATGGGCTCCTCCCTCATCTTGGGACAGCTTTCTGCTTCAAAAGAGCTTTACTGAAGCCCAAGTGAGAGTCTTCATCAGCAAAAACCATTTCTCTAATTCAAAATGCAGGGTGAATTTTTTTTTTTTTTTGAGTTGGAGTCTCACTCTGTCGCCCAGACTGGAGTGCAGTGGCTGCTCCTGGTCACCGCAGCCTCTACCTGCTGGGCTCCGGCGATCCTTCCACCTCAGCCTTTCAAGTAGCCGGAATTACGGGCCTGCGCTTCCACGCCCAGCCGATTTTTTGATTTACTGTAGAGATGAGGTCTTGCTGCCCAGGCAGGTCTCGAACCCGCGGGCTCAGGCAGTCCACTCACCTCAGCCTCCCAAAGGCGCGGGATTACAGGCTGAGCCAACGAGCCCGGCTTGTGGTGAATGTTTTGCCCACAGCAATGAAGGAATGCTCTATCAGAAAATAGCTCCCCATCAAACACTCAAAAATAACCAAAGAAAGAAGTGGGTGTGTCTGTAACATACCTGCTTCCATGCAATTGGCGAATGTAAAGCTAGAACTACATTGAAATCATTTATTCAGTAAACATTTACTGCCTACTGCTTACGAGACTCAAGGCTAGGCGCTTGAATGATGAAGATGAATGAAACAAGAGGTCCCTACCTCCTGGTAGCTGTTGGGAGAGGAGGAACATATACACGAACAGATAATGGTGCAACACAGCACATGCCATAAGGGAGAAATGTACTGTAAGTCTGAGGAAGCTTCAGTGAGATGGCTGCTTTTGAATTGAACAGTGAACTTAGGAGAGAATGAGTGGGAACTCTCTAGGTGGAGGTCATTAATTGCACACGCAAACAGAAGGAATCTCAAATGAGCTCATGCATGTGCAACAGGTATCTGAGGGGGAGTGGTCCCCGATGAGGTTGATGTGGGTCCCACAAGAGCCTCTGTGAGGATAGCACCCCCTGAAGACTCACTTGTGCCTCCTCCCCCGTGTTCCATAGTGGGCACCCACCCAGAGGAATCCAAGCTCCCTCTTCCACATCCCTGCTCACCATCCAGATAACCTGTCTTCTCACATCATCCTGAGATCATCTGGTACCCACATATTGTAAGGAATTTATTTTTAGAAGATTTGGAGCAAAAGAGAACAATATGGAAATAGGAAATCTGAGACTCTCTGGGGGATTTTTTTTTAATGAAGGTGTTATACAGCCCTCAAACCAAGCAATTAAAGAAAACCCAGCTGCACTAGCTTCCCCAGGGGCTAGACCCTTAAAATCTTTGTGACAGAAAATTACCTAGGGGGGAAAAAATAGAGTCATAAACATCTGAGGAATCTTTTCAAATTTGAAAAACTGGGGAAATTTCAAGGCATTAAATTCCCATAAAGACTTCACTACATAGAGCTAAATCAGCAAGTACCCACCAACTCTCTTGGGTGCCTAATGAAAGATTCTGTTTCTTTTTAAAGGCATGCAGGGCTACTTTATTGCAGCCGGGGGCTGTAGGGCTTAGGTGTTTATGTCTGCTGTTACCCTGTGCCTGTTCTCTTGGCTTTACTGCAGAACATCTGGTTTCTGCATGTATTTAAGGGACTCATTGGTCCTAACCTCTCTGTCTAGATTCAGGTATATGGCGTCACAGGAAAGAAATCCAAGCCTCACAGCTGTAGGCTGAGATCACATAACTTCTTAGTCTGAATGTCAGTGAATTTCACTGCATCATCTTTATATTTATTTGGTGCCCTCTCTATATCCTTTAACTCAGACTCTTTGGAAAAGACTTATTTTCTTAAAATTTCACACTGTGGTCACGGAGTTTCCCCTTGTCTTCCACCACCTCAGCACCACTACTGTGTGAAACATTCTTCCTTTCTATGCAGATATTTAACTGTTGTCTTTGTGCCTCAGCTTCCCCAAGGGGGGCAGTCTCCAGAGATCAGACATGGGTTCAAGCAAGACTAGTGTTACTTTGCCTTCTTTACCCAGGACTCCCCTCCTGATGCTTCAGGGAGAATACATCTTTGTGTGGTTTCTTTCTGTGTTTCATGCCTTTTGTCAAACATCACCAACAGACTGTGAGGCACTGCAGCCTTACTCTCAAAGGACAGAATTCGTACACATCCATTTGACTTACCTGAAGATGCCCTTCATCTCCCAAGATTTCGGGAGCATACAGCAATGTTTGGGTGTAACCAAGCCTGTAACCATCCCATCTCTGTGCTTGCTTGCTTGCTTGCTGTATTTGGTCATTCGTTCAGCAGATACTTATGTAGCACCTCCTGTGTACCCCAACCTGGGAGCTTCACGTGTGCTTCTAAGCAGGGCCTGCCTGCATAAGGAACCGGGCCCCATTGACTGAGACAGTACTGTACCTAACAGTGACCATTTTCCCTGAATCTATTTTTCTAGGCCTTATTTTCAAACATAGTATTTGACAAGGGATTTTTGAACTGTTCTAAGTACATCCAAGATAATGTTTGGATCCTGAAATGTCTCTGAATTTTCAATGGCCTGTGGATTAAATCAGAAAAAATATTTGAATCTGAACTAACTAGGAAAATACACATGGTGTGGTTCCTGGTCATCAAAATTAGTCTCAGCTGCCTCTTTAAAAATACATGTTTTAATTTTTATTTTTCACTCAGATCACCTTAGGCCAGTGATTTTACAAGACATTTGGTATCCTAAATGTTTTTTTATCCTTCAGTAAGAAAAAAGTTTTAAAAGCATATTTATGTAATACGCTTAGCTCTGTTCTTTTAGGACTTTAAGTATGGTATTCAACTTTTTCTATATTTTCTTTCAACAGTTGGCCTAAGGGGGAAAAAGACCCAGAGCTATAAAAGGTCCTTTTAAACCATGGCAGGAATTGAGAAAGAAAGCTTGAAAACCACAGGTGCTTTATATACAGTTGGAAGTACCTTTCCAAAGAGACTTTTTCCCGTGGAAATGTCCATTCAGTTGTGCTTTACTTTGTTCCTCTCTCCCTGCTCCTCTCCTCCAGCCAGGCGTCTGCCGAATCCCTCAGGTTCTCACTGTGCTTATCTTCTTGCTGTGTTCTAGTCTCCATCTCCTGGCAGCTCGTCACCCCTGGGTGCAGAGTCATCGAGTACACCCCTTCACTCCAGCGACCCTGCAGAAACTTCCACAAATAAAGAGGTAGGACACCATTTCATCTCTAAAGCCATCAGCCCGTTTTCCTTTATTCTAATGCTGCTCTCTGCCTCCTAACCCAACCCCCCTACAGAGCTCCTGACCGGCCTTACCCTGGGGAGAACAATTCTAATTTCTCCTCTCCAGTGTGCAATTTGTCTGTGAAAGCCATGCTGTTTAACTTGGCAGTCACTGGCTATAGGCGTCTCATTAAAGAATACAATGAAAAATTCACTTCCTTAGGCCTGCTAGCTACATTTCAAGTGCTCCGTAGCTGCCTATGACTAGTGGCTACTATATTAGAAAGGGCAGATTGCAAAACATTTGCATCATTGCAGAAAGTGCTATTGGACAATGCTGCATGCCAGATGACCAAACACTTTGTGTACCAGCATCCTTCCTCATGGCATCACACACCTTCTGATGCCATGGAATTGTAATTGCCGTGTGCTCTGAGAAATGGGTTGGTTTCTTAAATATCCAAGTATTTCAGGTCCAAGTGCGATATCTTTCATAAGAACAGGATGTCCACACGTCCTGGTTTAGCTGGGGCATGGGTTCCAATTCACACCCCTTGTCCAAGCAGCCCACCTGCCGAGTGCCCTTCTCACTTTCCACAGTAGTGCTGTCTATCCTTGAGAACTTTCCGTGATGATGGAAACATCCACTTCTTCACTGTCCAGTGCGATAGTCACTAGCATCAGGTACCCGTCAAGCCCTGGAAATGTGGCCACTGGGACTGAGGAATTGAATTTTACATTTTATCCCATTTTGACTAACTTAACTAACCACATGTGGCTGTGGATTACTGGACAGTACAGCTCTAAAGTATCCCTTTGAACAACGAATCCTATGGTCACCCTGCTTATGATGGGGAGTGTTTCAATGAGAAGATACTGCATGCTGCTACTGAGGTATCTGGGTTTAGAAAAGGAGGTGTTTTTTCCAGAGGGGAGCCACTGCCTTCTCCTGTACCCAGAGTCCTCTACACTTGCCTAACCGTCACCCACACCTATTTCTGAACCATCATCAGGGAAATATTGGCCTGTACCTTGATCTGTGTGTAGGCTCAGCTTGCTCTCAGTATAGACACTCCTCAATCAACACTGAGGAGATGGTTAAAGAGGTAAACCACATAATGAATGACAGGCTCATTTTCCCTCTTGTTACTGATAATGATGTTAAATGCAATGGAAGAAAACAATCTCTCTTTTAACCTAAGTGACAGATCCCTTCTTCAAGGAGTCTTAGTTAAATTTTACCTTAAAGTATCATTGAATGCACATATATTTGCCATTAAATATTTATGTAAAAGAGAAGTATATTTTTTAAATTAATCTGTTCTTATTAAATCAAACAAATAGAGAAATCTTCTCTGAATTGACACCAGCATTTGAATTTAGACTAGAAATATATGTTGACCTCCTCTGGACTTGATTCTCACTCCCTTGGCCATTGGAGCAGGAATGACAGGGTCACCATTTCAGCTGGTCCTCCCATTCCACAGCTTGCTTCATTCTTTACTTATAGCACATGGAAGGGTGAGAACAAATAGACGAAGAAAAGGACAGCTACAGTGATCATGACAGTAATGTGCGTGATCATTTCTTGAACATTTACCATGTTCCAGGAACTGGGCTGGGCAACTAGTATCTCATTTAATTCTCAAAATAAATTATGTTAGGTAGGTACTGTTATCCTCATTTGTCAGTTGAGGAAGCAGAGAGATTGAGTAACTTACCTGGGGTCACAGAGCTCACAAGTGTTCAGCTAGGATTCTACTCTAGGGCTTCTGAGGGCCCATGCTCTTAATCACTAGGATCTGGTATTCCTAGGCTAGAAAGTGCTTTCAGGTCACAGACCACATGGACAAGGCAGATTGTAAGTCATTATTCCAGTTGGCAGGCCTCCAGACTCTACACAGGTGTTAGTTTGTGTGACCCCCCCTCCACCCCAGGAAAATCCCAAACATCTTAACCTTTCGCTATTTGAATACAAGTTTATCTATCAATTCTTGAATGTTAAGGGTCAACTCATGTTCATTTCAGTCCACAAATGAAACAAAGGGCTAATCAGGCATCTGAATATTCAGCATTTGATTATGCATCAGATATAATAAGCAAGGCAAATTTGTTAGTTTATTAGTTTCTATAAGACTTGGCACACATCTCTGCATATCCTTAGAAATAATGATGAAACTCCTCTTTGTGTGCAATAATTAGAGATTCTTTCATTGCATAAAACTCTTTTCTTAAAAAAATTAACGACCCAAAGACTAAGGAAAGCTAGTCATGAGCTGATGAATAACGAATAAGTGAACTACCAAATGCCTTCTGTTGTAACACTAATAAAATGGCAGCTTTTAGAGCTATAGACTAAAGTAATTCTTTTATAGCTTCTGCTAAAATATGGACACTGTCTTTGAGATTAGCATTCAGAAAAGTATCCTAATAGCCCAAGAAAATCTGAATTGACCTCTTGGATGTACCTGGAGGCTAAGCCATTCTGATTAGACTAAGTAAACGGTCATTACCCTATAGCTACTTGGGACAAGGGCAGAGAGGTGGTTGGGAAATAATAATTTAAAAGTTTTCGGCCCTTGTGAGGAAACTAGCTTCCATCTGTATACCATGAAGTGATGAGATTTTTTTTCCTTAAACCAACCAGAGTTAGACAGATTTAGCTGTTGGCCCTCAACTGAACCTGTCTTCTCACTTGAGTAAGTGGAAAATAAAATTGGTATAAAGCACTGTTGAAATTGGAGTTCCCTTTCCTCCTGTACACATCTCCTGGCTTTCACTTGGTGTGCATTTTTCCATAACCACATTAGCAACCAGGAACCTTTCATTTCTGGTGCATGAACCCACCCTCTTTGGTGTGAGGAGTTGTTTCCTCCTAGTGAGCATATCTTCAGCAGGTTTACTGACAAGTTGTCCCATGAGGTATACTGTGCAATTAGTGTTGAATTCTTGTCATTGTCCCGAATTGAGTTAGAATCTTACAACTAGATTTCTTCAACTGCTCCCAATTGTTCACATAACAATTAACACTACTGTTTTTTGAATGCTGTGCAAGTATTAAGTAAACATCCCTTTACCATCCCCATCTTCTAAGTCAAGCACTATGTAAAGTGCTAGAATATGGAGTTGCTCCCCATGACATCCCAACCCTCACCCAGGGCCCTTTCCTCTTGTAGCCCACAAAGCACCCAGAGTTTACCATCTACTCAAGCCAAATTCTGAGGAGCTATGCAGTACTACATTTCTCTTAAAGGCATGTATTTAAATGGTCACTAAACCTGGTTGATCTTCAATAACAAAAATGTTTGCCATGCAAACCTTATCTTTTGCCTGTTTTAGGAACTCTTGTCTTTAACATTAGTTTTTCACTCTTCTAAGATGCTTCTACCACCCTGCTCCAGACATATCAGTTACAAATTCTATTACTAGTTGCAGCAGGAATGAATTTCGTTCTCTTATGTCACTCAGAGTTATATCTAGGACATCTGCTTCTGAAAGGAGCATATGGCATAAGTTTTGCCTCTCTGAGGCAGGCATTGAAGCTGCCACTAGTCAGGTTCTAGAAAGTGTCTAGCTCATCGTCTCCACTTCTGTCAGTGCTGTGAGAAGACTAGACTTTGCTCTGTGAGGTGTTACTTAATAGAAATTACAGGGTTTTTAATGTACCCCTCTGTTGTGTTTTTGTTTTAAGGTAACACACAGTGATGATTTATATAGTGGAATTTTTAACTAAAATAAATCAGCAAGAGATGAAAGTTAGAGATTTTTTAAAAATTCTAGCACACATTTATAGCACATGGAGAGATCACTATAGCAAAGACATAAAATAAAATTATCTACCAATATATAATCATATTTTTGGGGATTTACTAATCAGTTTTTCATGTAAAAACACAGATTCTTAAGAATACAAATTGTGACCTTTTATTTTTATTGCTGATTATAGATTTTGATCTGTAGGATATTTTTGAAGCTGATAGATACCTCTCTGATTGTGAAATGTAAGATTTTTCAGATTCCCTAAAAGTTGAATGGACTATTCTGGGTTTTAGGTAACCTTTACTAATAAATGCATCTGCTTATCCATACTTCACTCTCTCTAACCAAAAATGGTCGATAACTAGTTAAGAACCACCTCTTGTGATGTATTTATTTTTCATGTTGCATGGATGGTTGTGTTAATGCATATTTCATCATGCTTTGCTCTTTTTGAAACCTCTTTGTCTTAATTACAGTCAAGAAAAAGCTTGGCTTCATTTCCAACCTACGTTGAAGGTAAGAGTCAAAAAGAAAATATTGAGCACTGAGTCATTCATGAATCATTTAGCATTCTAGGCATTGAAAGCACCAAGATATAAGACAATGGTGGGGAGAAAAGGCCACAAAGTCACTTATTCATAGTGTTAATAGTCATGGGATCTTTGACTGAAGGTGCAACTGCTGGGAACCTCTCAAAAATCCTCCTCCTTGGCCAGGCATGGTGGCCCAAATCTGTAATCCCAATACTTTGGGAGGCTAATGCAAGAGAATTGCTTGAGCTCAAGAGTTTAAGACAAGCTTGGATGACATAACAAGACCTCATGTCTATTTTTTAAAAAAATTAAATCAGCTGGGCATGGTGGCTTGCAGTTGTAGTTCCAATGACTTGGGAGGCTGAGGTGAAAGGATCACCTGAATTCAGGAGGTCACAGCTGTGCTGAGCTGAGATCGTGCCACTGCACTCCAGTCTGGGTAATAGAGTGAGACCCCAACTCAAAAAAAAACCCTCCTCCAGCCTTTTCTCGTGATGTAGATGGAGACCCCGAGGCTGGCAGAGAAACCATGGACTCGACCCTGTGTTCTATAGCTTAGTAATGGCCCCATGGGACCCGAACTCTAAGTCTCCTTACTTCTAGTCCAGCACACCTCTTACATTCTTCAAAAACAATTCAAGTGGGAATGAACTTTAACTAAAGGAGAAATATTGGTCCTCTTCATAAGAAGTCCTCCCTAATAATTCCCGTCTATTGCTTGGATGAGCTAGTGATAGTAACATTTATCGAGTGCTTACTTCCTGCCAGGTACTGTTCTAAGCACTTTAATATAATAACTATTTGAAGCCTCAAATCAATCATTTGAAGTGGGTTTTACTATCATCCCCATGCTACTCATGAAAGAACTGAGGCATCAAGAGGGTGAGTCACTTGCCCGAGATAATGCAGATGGCAGTGCAGAGCCAGGCTGTGAACTGGCAGGCTGACTCCACCATTCTCCTTGGGCCCAGCATTCTCTGTGGGGCTGCCACAAAGCGTTGTGCAGGTTACTTACTGCACAAAGGCACCCAGTCAGGAGGCTGAGTGGAGCCGAAACTCAGCCTAAGCTCTGCATCCGAGCTTGAGGTCATGCTACCCAAACAGGGCATCTATTCTCACTCATACAGAAGCACCCTCTGGCCAGAGGTGGCACTGATGCTCTATCAGGGCAGATTGCCATTTTCTTGAAGAAGGTTTTTCTAGAGGCTGAGAATGCCCAGACATCTCTTTAAGGTCATGTCCAGCCTTTGGATCCTGTGCTTGAACAGTCAGTGTGTCCCACTGCCTGGGAGTGAGTCACCAAGATGCATAAGCCTTTACCAACCGTCGGGCCTAAAGCTCAAAACAGGCTCATAATTCTAGTTACTGTCTTGAATATCCTCTAAATGTATCATTTTGCAAAGTTCTAAAATTCCATGAGACTACCCTGGGAAGTTTTCAGAAGTTTGGGAACCTCCTTCATCATACACATCCCCCAGGCCGAGAGATGGTCAGGCTGACTGAACCTGAGTGTGAGATTGTGACATGAGTGCTCACTCATCCACAGAGCAACCTGAAGGCCTTGCTGAGGGGAAAAACATGTTCCAAAAGAGTGAAACCTGCAGGTTTTATGCTTTAATTTTTAAAAACTTTAAAAATACACGACCATCAAGCCTAAAGTGAACTTATAAAATTATGACTTTTTTTTCTGGGTGGGATACAGTGACAGTGACATTCAATTATAGTCAATTTCCCCAAAGGTTAAATGGCATAAGATTATATTTCAACTTAAAATTTTGTTTAGGTTCATTGTTTTGCATTTCTTGGGCAGCTTGGCTTTTTTTTTTTTTTTTTTTTTTCTTTTTTTGATTCGGAGTCTTACTGTTGTCCAGGCTGGAGGGCAGTGGCACCATCACAACTCATCATAGCCTTGATCTCCTGGGCTCAGGTAATCCTTCTGCCTCAGCCTCCCAAGTAACTAGGATTATAGACATGCACCACCACACCTGGCTAATTTTTAAAATGTTTTTGTAGAGACAAGGTCTCACTATGTCACCTAGGCTGGTCTCAGACTCCTGGGCTCAAGCAATCCTCCTGCCTCAGCTTCCCAAAGTGCTGGGATTACAGGTGTTAGTCGCTGTGCCTGACCTGTGTGGCATTTTTTTCAATCATTTAAATACTATTTGGATTGCTTTTAAACATGTCCCCATACCCCACTGATTGCAGTGGAAAGAGATTTTTTTCAGTGAATAGAACTAAGTCATAGATGAATATATGATATTAGAAGTCCCATAGAGATGGTGGTTAACTTTTGTGTGTTTTAACATTGATTTTTTAAAAAATAGATGGAAGTTGTTTAAAAATTAGTATCCCAGATGATATCTTTCTTCTTCTTATCTGATTAGCAAAAATTTTTGTGTTTAAGTAATATTGTAAATGTATCACTGGTAACTTTTTATAGAAGACTGACAAGCTCTTCTGTTATATAAAATGTAGTGTGGGTTCACAGCTGTCCACATATTCTTTTATATGCTTTCCTATTATACAACTAAAACTGTGTATTGTAAATAGCCTGAATCCTTCTCACATCCATAAAGGTTTCAGGGCGGGACGCTGTGGCTGTTGAAGGGATGTCAGTTGCTGGTATGTAGTGGAGGCTGGCTTGCCTGTGTACCACTCAGTGTTTGTCCAGAAGTCTTGCTTGTAAGGATCGAGAATAAGACAAATAACAGACTTCCTTATTTCATTACTACAAAGATGTTTTGTGAAGGCCCTTTCTAAAACACTTTTAATTTCTTTCTCTCAACTACCACCTTAGTTTCAGAAAAATGAATTGATTATTTTAAGTCTGCCCCCTGATAAGTAGCTTATCACGGGAAGCAGCTGTGTAAGCTCAAGATGAGCTTGATGTTAAGGATAAAAAGAAAAACCATTACAGATTAGCCCTCCAAGAGGAAAAAGCAAATTGTTTCCATTTCAGGTTATCTCATTTAAGACCCTGGGGTTTCACAGTGGGTTAAATGAATATTTTAGTTCTCCCCAGATATGGCATTCACATCAAAGAAAATACAAAGGTTTCAATTACAGGTTAAAATACCTTTTTTAGTGAACCTGTTATAAAGTTATATATTAGTCCCAGATATGTTTTAATTTTTAGTAGAGTTTAAAGGTGACTGTGGTTCAAATCAGATGCCCCCATTTAAAATACTTAAAACAGGTTTGATTTCAAAGGTTGGTCAATGAGAACAGAAAATTTTGATTTTCCTTGGAATTGATCTGTGTGTGGACACAGGTCAAGAACATTCTTGCCTGTAAGGTAGCAAGATTGTCAACATGGGACCATGGCTTTGAGGTCATGTAAATCTGTCTTACATAATTGGGATACAAGGCCATTGTAGGAATCTGGACATTCCGAAATAAATATCTTCTTTTTCTGATTTATAAAGTTTGTTTCCTCCATTATAGATTAAATGGAGGAAGGAGAGGTGAATGGGTAGCAAGTCACAGGAACTGCTGTAAAATTCAGTTTTTTAATAAGACAATCATCTATCACCTAACCATTTATCCTGCAAACATCTAGTTGGTACCAACTGAATAACGGACACCGACTAAGGCATAAGAGAGTCAAAGATGGATATGACATGGTCCTTGTCCCCAAAGATCTCACAGTCTTGCAGGAGAAAAATCCCTTACCACTGAGTTTTATGTCTCATATTTAAGTAAATATTCACATTATTTCTCACAGTAAACTATTCTAAGAAACCGTGTCTTCTATTGAAAACAAGGGGTGGGTGAAGGCAGACACAGAGGCCTTAGACCAGCAGGTTGACTTGCCTGTGCAGAGGTCTCTGTACCTGGCCCCACTGTCCAGTAGTGAGGCATAGGAGAGGGGTGATATACCATCAGGAGACTGGAGGACCCCGCCCAGGATGACTTCACTCACCATGATGGCTCTGTGTGTTACAGTTCCCGGACCCTGCGATCCCGAAGACTTGATCGATGGAATCATTTTTGCCGCCAATTACCTTGGCTCCACCCAGCTGCTGTCAGACAAAACTCCCTCCAAAAATGTGCGCATGATGCAGGCCCAGGAAGCAGTAAGCAGGATCAAGGTGAGGGGGTCTGGGTATTCTGAGGGAGATGGCGGACAGATGACAGCGCCTGAGCAATTCATAGCATCGGCCCACAGCTCTGTCTAGTCCCGAGTTGGAGGAGAGTGAGCTGAGATAATCTCACAGGCAGTGCTTATTCACATGCATGGTAACTGTTCTAAACCACAAAAAGTGTCCCGGAGTCTTTATTTATAAACACTATTTAGGTTCTTCTAAATGGCCTGTCTTGAGGAAGAGTACATATGATCATAAACTTTGGAAGTTGATATGATGAGAAAGGAAGTCACTTGAGTATTATGTCTCAAATGTGAGATGTGTGTCACTGGATTTCCGGTGACTAGAGGTCAGTGTCGTAAACCTTTGTGTTACAGAGTTGGTTCAAACTAGGGGGCATTGTTTTTGAACCAGTTGGTGCTGTTCAAACTGGATTGAACTGGCTTGCTTCCAGTAAAATGAACCATTTGGTCAAATCTAATTTGGCTAGTCTGAACAACCCCATACAAGGCTAGCCCAGGTTAAACTAGTTTGAACTAATCATAACCTGTTTGGATCTGTTTTATCAAGACTTAAGAGGAGCAAACCTATTTGGTCCAGGAAGAACCACTTTCATCTGGTTTAGACCATTCACAACTAGTTTGAACCAGCCAGAACTGGTTTATTCCCATGGAAACATAGAGCTCTAGAACCTCCATGATGCCAAAACCACCTAGAATCATAGACAAACCAGAACTACAGGGACACTTAAAGTGCATTCATGCCATCCAGGTGCCGTTGTGCCACCAGCACCTAGATCCACTAGGCAGCCACTCAGTGCCACAAGGCCACTTTCACCTAGAGCCCTAGGGATAGCATCATTTTGGAAACCCAGGACCAGGTATTTCCAGCAAGTCAGAATAGGTTAGGCCTCACCAGAGTTGGTTTTATTCAGTTTTAACTAGTCAGAATGGATTCCCCTTATAAGAGGTCGTTCCTTTTTCACACCTCTCTCACACATTCCCAGGCCGCATCCCAATATCTGTATAGTAATGTGGAATAAGAAAGGAGGACAAGTAGAAGATAGTAACTGAGTCCTTAATCTCTCAATCAGAGAAAAAAATCTTTCTTGAGCACTTATGTGTGCAGGTCCATGCACAGTCTTGGGAGGGAGAAGAAATAGTGATGGATAACGTGCGATCCTTGCCCTCACATTCAGCCACACAAATGCAGAAATGATTAATCCAACCAGTGAGTGTACAGGGAGGACCAGAGGAGGAGAGAAGAATGTCAGATACTAGGTGCCTGCAGGTGAGACACCTCTGACCTCTACCTGAGAGGTAGAAGGGAACAGTGAATGACCAGCAATTCAGAGATGCTTGCAGGGTGCAGGTGGTTGATCTGGGCCTCTCGCCTGAGCTAATCCCCCTGATAGCCACATGTCCAGGCTGTGCCATGTGGCGAATATTAAACAGCTCATATTTCCATGGATGCCCTAAGTAGGATGCTTTGAATGCTCAGCTGCCCAGTTATTCTGCAGTTTCCCAGGATGCTGTGTAAATGCCCCAGGTCCCTGTCATTGCTTCCTCATCACACTGCTCTTCATTGCTCTGCTGCTAGGCCTCCATGTGTCACCCACTGATCTCACTACCTCTTTGTACTTGGAGGAAGCACTTCTCTCCCGAGCTCAGAGCTGGCTCTTCCCTTAACTCCTCATAGGACAGTAAGCCCATGCTGCAATTTTTGATATGACTACTGATATTTTAGGAATTAGGATTTATAAACTAGGGAGTAGAAGGCTGGGTGTGGTGGCTCACACCTATAATCCCAACACTTTGGGGGCTGAGACAGGAGGATTATTTGAGCCCAGGAGTTAAAGACCAACATAGCAAGACATCATCTCTTAAAAAAAAAAAAAAAAAAAAAATGAAAATTAGCTGGGTATAGTGGAATGTACCTATAGTCCCAGCAACTTGGGAGGCTGAGGCAAAAGGATCACCTAAGCCCAGAAGGTTGGGGCTGCAGTGAAGCTGTGATCATGTCACTCCAGTCTGGGTAACAGAGTGAGACCCTGACTCAAAATAAACAAACAACCCAAGGAGTAACTTGCAACTGCCTCAAGCGTGGCTACTGTCCCAACCCATTGTCGAGATTACTAACAGGACCTCCTGGTTTCTTTCATATGTCAAGAACCCCTCTACTACTTTATCTGGGACACACAAACTTGTCTGTGCCTCAGAGGCTGCCACGAGGCCTACTTCGGTGTTGTTTGTCTCTTCTCTTAAAATTAGCCTTTTCTGGGATGGCGGACAGTGGAGGGGTCCAATTCTTTCAAGGGAAGCCCCACCCCCTACCCTCAAAGATACATCCTGCCCCATGGCTCCCACCAGGACAACTCCATGGAAACAATCTGACCTTCACACCTTTTGGGACTTTCAGACTAAATAATGCTATGGGTAGAACACCACTGGGTGCTTATGGAGCAGCCCGTCCAAGCGTGGCCTGATTCCTTTTCACTGTCTTTCTCTTCCCACAAAGTAGTGATGTTATGCTGGCAAGTCTCCCCATGGCCATCTCCATCTTAATTTGGTATCTTCTAGGCACAGCCTTCAAAACAACAACCCACAAACTTCTCAGAGAGAACAAGCTCCTTTTTAGGCGTGGTCCCATGCTATTTCATACAGAGCAGAGAACTTTAAAAACAAAGTCAACAAGGTCATAGTTCTGGCTCCCCTTGTCCCTCTGTTATCAGACACAAGACTTAATCTCAAAGGTGAGAGGGTGCCATTGGCTTGCCCAGGGCGGGAGTACCAAACCTGGCATGTATCATGCAGGGGGTCTCTGGCAGACAGAGACCATCTCCACAAGATGTGTTTGGAAATGAGTGGGGTACTTCTGGTTGTCACCCTAACTGGGAGCATTTCCTGAGCCAGAGCCAGGTATGCTCAACACCCTATAATGCCCAAGACAGAGCCACACAGCAAAGATTTATCTCCACTGAATGTCCATCAAGGATCACTGCCAGGGCTCATTTAGGTGAATCTTCTAGATTCAAAGAGCAGTCTGACTCTAAAGGAGTGCTGAAGACTCCTGAAATTGGAAACCGCGTGCTACTTTGTGGTTAGTTTTTCCTAGGTTCTATCCATCGAGGTCTTAAAAATCCTAATGTTCAGGTTTCATTGTGGGTACCTTGATTATTAGCCTTCTGATGACTTTGGACTCCTATGGACAGAGCATCTCTATGGCACTCAAGTGCTCAGATAGCCTTAAGGGGGAAGGTAGGCACAGGTACATCACTTGAACATAAAGTGGTGGTCAGGGTAGACTTACAGCATCCCTAGACCAGATCCCATCCAGGGCCAACTGTATTGTAAAATATATTTTTTACTTTCACAGTGGTGTTCTATAGTATGGTTATTCCTCCTTAAAAGTACAGGTCCCTCATAATTTTACTTTGAAGCTTCCAAAGGATTGGTGTCCAGAAGTTCCACAGTTCATTGGAACCACAAATTAGATGACTCTGTCGATCAGAACAAGCAAGACAGAAGCTTTTTTATTATAAATACATTTTAGACCTGCCTAGAGCAGGGTAGGCATCTGGAAAACATATATTTATTTTTACAAGCAAATTACTCTAGTATGAAGAATTCATTATTGAGTGGTAAAATTAAGCAGTAACATTTCATTTATAACTTATAAGTATCACTCTACAATGTACTTAGGTACATTGGAAGGAACTGTTGCCTGTCATTAAATATTTTCTGCTTCATGTTTTTTTTACATCCATTTCAACGTTCGGCAGATTGTTTGACATTACACCCAGCCAGAAGCCTTTTCCGGTTGTAAGTGGAGACAACTGTCTATGTCAGCACTCCCAAGAAAGGGGCCATCAGAGACCATGCACAGAGACTTCATCACAGGCAGAGGGAAGCTGGGGGCAGAGCACGTTCATCCAGGCAGTCTGGGCTGGGCTCAGGCAGAGCTTGCACCATGGTACCCACACGTGCCTGGCAGTTGCTGCTCTGTAAGGAAGGTGGTGCAATGCTATTTCTTAGAGAGAGACTGACCTTTCAGGAACGAGTTGCTCTAGGCTACCTCAGCAAAAAGGATCCAGAGCATAGCAAGGCTACAGATTTTGTCATGCCCATCCAGAAGGAAGGAGAAAGAAGAGCTTGGTGGATTTACTTTGCAATCCATTTAGCCATGTCCTCAACCCCAAGCTGATGAGCCAGTTAGTCATTTCTGACTTGGTGCCTTCACCTAAACAGAGGTGGTGGACGTCCCCCCTTTGGCTTTCTGATTGCTTCTTCCTTCTTTACTCCCCACAGGGACCCCCCTCTTGTGCCCCCCTCCTTTCTCTGCCTGGATGGATATGAGTGAGACCGGCTCACCATGCATCTCATATCTGTGGTGCTTTAACAAGCACTCTGAGCAGAGGCTGACCCGGAAGCCTAGGTTTCCATTTCAAAGCAGTCTTTCATTTCTGTTGTTTGTTGATTGTGGTATCTGTCACTCTTCTAGCACCAACTGTATGCTAGAATTGAACACTGCTCGTTGGATTTACCTGTGAAGTTTTGGAAATTACTATTTTCTTGGTTTAACAAAGAATGTACAGATTCATTTGCCAGACAGAGAGAGAATTTAGAACTGTGGTTTGGCCAGGCATTTTCTACTCAATATGAAAAGAAAACAAAGGAATTTGGCCCAAAAAGCCAACTATCCCTATGCAGACCCTGTGTGATAGGCACTTGAGGAATAAAAATTAACCGGTACACAGTTCTTGACCTTGAGAAACTTGCAGTGTAATAAAAGACGCTGTCAGAGTCCAGCTCCAACACAAGGATTAGGGCCTGAGGCGAGAGAATCAGATGCAGCGAAGGAAGAAGACATAAGTCAACTCCCTGGGTCGAGTTTGGGACTCTTCCAAAGTTTATTCAATTTTCACATGTTTATATAAGGCATTTTCAACCCTCAACCCCCTCACACATATGCCACATATGTTACATTATGTTTTCTTTTACAATCAA